GCAATAATAATTCCTATTTACCTTATTTTTGTCATTAAAATCAAATGCACGCGCACGAGAAAATATACATGTAGACAGCTGATTACCAAAACGCGCAAAAGTTGAGAGTTGCCCATGATTTTGCTTTGCTTTGCTTTCCTCGCATTCTATTTAGCAATACTCATATAAAATCATGTATTGAACTTATCTGTCAAAGCGGAGTTATGAAGCAAAGCGAAGCAAAAGTCGTATGTAAATGGCCCTTTATTCCGTATCTATCACGATAAACGCGCAATAACCTCCACAAAAAAAAAAAAATTCTAAAAAATCAACGGTAATTTTTAGCGACTTTAAACTTACACCTTGTTTTACTAAAATTGAACGAGCTACAAAACTGCATACTCGAAAATTTTCTAGAAATTCTGAACAAAGTCATCGTACAGATCCATAAGTAAAGTAACTCTTCTTCTTACCGTTTTTTCTAGCAGGCTGTAGGTATGTTTTTGGTTAGTGTATTGGTGTTTTTGGTTCAGTGTGTTAGTGTATTTTGAATAAATTGTAATAGAAATAAAAGAAATTGTAAAATAAATGAAAGAAATTGTAAAAGATAAGAGCACATGCCAAAAAACAGGTGATCTCAGCTGATCAGCTGATAGTGTTTTTACTTATGAAACTGTACAATGACAAAAGTTTTTAAATTTTGATGAAAATTTTTTGAATTTTTGTGAGATCTATCTAAAGTATAATTTGTATGTCACTTCACGCCCACTCATTGATATTTCGTAAAATTCAGATACTCCGTTTATAAGCTTCGTTGATGTACAATGATCCCAATGATGATAACGCTTAATTAATTTTTGTTGTTTTGGTAAAAAATATACACCATTAAGTAAAATTAATTGAAAGGACGATTTTTAAGGTAATCATATATCTAACTATAATAGAAAAATAATAATCGATCCCGAACCACCTAACGGGATTTCTTTTTGAGTAATTTATTTCTGTTTAAGTATTATAGGTTGTAAATATGAAATAAAATCGGAGTCTAAAAATGGATTTTCTAAATATCTCGACTCCTACGCCACCTAACGGGCAAATTTTTTTGTGGGGTTATTCCTTTTCATGTAGTTAAGTAATACTCATTCCAACTATGAACCATATCGGACCATGAATACGGGATTTTTAAATATCTCTACACCTGCGCCACCTACCGGATTAATTCATCCTTAATATTGCATTGTCATCGGGTTCTGACCCAAGTGTGAAGTTTCAAGTTTCTATCTCATCGCGAAGTTGGTTAAAAATTTATTGCAAGATTTGATTACACACAGGTGAAACTTAATAAAAGCTTGCAAAATACATTTCCACTGAGTGAACACTAAATCAACGGCTGATTGGAAGGTTGACCTATTTCGGCAGCCAGTTCGAAAGCGCGAAAGATATCTTAACGAAAATTGTTACGTGTGTTTCTTTTGAGCAAAGGATGAATGGGCAATATCGGATAATAACCACGCCTACCTTCCATATTACGGTAATTTGGAGAAATACGAAAACTTCGATACTGTCGCGAATTTATTAAAAATTGATGTTTGCCATGAAACTTTAGCAAGAAATATGTTTATAATAAATTTTTGAAAAATGGGTGGGGCACCGCTTTCTTATGACCACATATGTATGTGTATCTCGGCAACCGTTCCATCAATTTGTACCAAACTCTATATAATTATTTTACTTACCGGATAAGAGCGTTTTTGAAATCGGACTAAGATTACGTCCACTTTTCATATAACGGTATTTTCGAAATTTAAGGACGCTAGTTTACTCAAAATTGATACTCACAATAATTCCTTGAAAAGCAGTAACATTATTATGGAATTTTGGAAAATGGGCGTGACACCGCCCACTTATAACATACTATCGAAATAACGGTAAAACCACCCCTACTTACCATGTAACGGTAGTTTTCGGAAATGTGAAAAAATTATGTTTAATACGTGGCCAGGTATTTAATGTTCGGCTTCGCCCGGACTTAGACTTTTTTATTTGTTATGATCATATTTACTTATAGACTAATGAAAGTTTATTAGACATAGTTTTAATAAAAAAAATTAGAGGTGTGTTATTTTTTCGGTATGAGTCCATTTAATTTGTAGTTATTTAGAATACATTTCTTCTTACCGTATCATTTGCTTTTTGCAACGAATATTTATTTCAATTTGGCATTTATGGAAGTCGCAAACAAATGTGAAGTGTTGCATTGCTTTTTTCAGTAAAAAAATTTATTACATTTTTTATCTTCGCTGAAGCATGAAAATCCATTGGAAAAACAAAAATAACAGTTACGAAAATTCATTAAAATTAAATTAGGGTTTTTAAATATGGACATATCTACATATGTATGTTGAACATCAAAAACTGCCTCAACCAAAGAGATTCGTCTCTGAAGAGTACACAGTAAGTATCTTCTTACTAAACTGTATGTCACTTATTCACTTTTAAGTAACGCTTTGGGCACAACATAACAAAAGTATCGACCGCTCTTGGGTAGTGGTTTCTTTTCGATCCATTCATCACGTTCCGCATTGTATACGGACACGGAATTTGAAGGAATATCTCCCACAGCCCACAGTTGCTCGTCCATCATAGAAACACATCCTATACCGTAACGCCCATCTCTCAAAGCGCAGACCTACGAAAAGTAATACAAAATTATGCGGTGTTCGAAATTTCGAAAGCTTTTTTTCAAACCAACCTTAGTCCATTTTTTATTTTCAGGGTCATAGCGTTCAACTGTTTTGCAACTTATAGCCATTTTACTACCTAAAACATAGATGCACCCATTGCTTACGGCTACCTAAAATGTGGGGAAACATACGCATGTGTATTAGATCGTTCATTAAATAATAAAATTATAGTTTAAAAAACTAAAACCTCCCTATTATAATTTCCATTCGTACTGTCATCAGGTATGTAACTTGAGAATAGAAATCGTTGCATCTTTTAGGCGCATCAATATTACATAGTTACATCCCGAGTTAATAAAAGGACGGTAAAAAAATATTTTGCCGAGCGGAAAAAGATGGATTTTGGTCTAAGCTAAGCTATGCAATGAACTGGAGATTTTTGAAAAAATTAAAGTTTTGTTTTCTCAATTTGAAAAAAAAAAAATGATAAGTCTGCAATATCTCAGAACCTATTCGACTTTTAGGCCAAAAAACACCCTTTTCCCCCGACAAATATTATATCTCTAATGTACATATGTACACATTTATGTATGTATGTATATTATTTGCTAATTTTTATAACTATACAAGTTCATCAGCATAAGTTACGTTTTTTTTTATGCACACGCACCCCAGGCAAACTATGGCCTTCGTTCATAGACGCACACTGGGTGCAAGAGTCCGAAGATGCTTCGTAACATTCAACAGAACTTAACTGGTAACTTCCATTCCAGCCTCCAATTACGAAAATTTTGCAATTTAAAACCACTGCGCCTGCCTCAGAACGTAATGTTGACATGCTGCTTACAAATTTCCATTCGTTGCCAGGTTTATATCTAAAATTATTTAATGAGTAAAAGTTTAGAACTAAAGACTAATAAAGCACTAATTTCGCAAATATTTATGGAGGAAATCGTCTACAAGGCATTTAAAAGGCGAGAAATTAAAACTGCCGGGCATTATTTAAAGATACATACATTCGTCGCCTGGATAA